GCCTGTACTGGTTAAAAATCGGGCTGCTGCATTCTGGACCAGTTGTAGTCATGCAATGGAGGTTTGACTGATACCATTTGTATCATCGTTATCATTATTTGTAAATGATAGTCGTTTTTTCCGATGTGTGCCCTGTCATTGTATGAATGTGATCTAAAGCTCAGATTAGTGTCTACAGATTCATATTATCTTTGTAGAGATGTAGTAGAGTGCTGTATGAATTTGTGTGTTGGAGGTAAATGAGAGCACAGATAGTGTTATAAAGAGCTTTGAGTATCTGGATTAGATGGGCAACTTTTATTAATTGACTTTTATAATGTATGTAAAGCAGTGGCACGGTGGCTTAGTGGATAGAGCTTTTGCCTGTCAGCGAGAAGGTTACCAGTACAAATCCCGGCCGGGGCCCTTTCTGGGTGGAGTTTGCACGTTCTCTCCGTGCATGCATGGGTTTTCTCCAGGTACTCCGGTTTTCTCCCACACACCAAAAACATGCATGTTAGACTGATTGGTAACTCTAAATTGTCCCTTGGTGTGAGTGAGAGAGTGAATGGTTGTTTGCCTTGTTTGTCTCTGTCGCTTTGTGATGGACTGGAGTTCTGTCCAGATGTCCCTGTGATGGACTGGAGATATGTCCAGGTGTCCCTGTGATGGACTTGCCACATATGATGGACTGGAGTCCTGTCCAGGTGTCCCTTTGATGGACTGGAGATATGTCCAGGTGTCCCTGTGATGGACTGTAGACCCATACAAGTGTCGCTGTGATGGACTGGAGACCTGTCCAGGGTGTCCCTGTGATGGACTGGGGACATGCCCAGGTGTCCATGTGATGGACTGGGGATGTGTCCAGATGTCCCTGTGATAGATTGGAGACCTGTCCAGGTTGTCCCCACCTCTCGCACAGTGACTGCTGGATATGGGCACCAGTGACTCTTGCAACCCAGAATGGAGGAAGCAGATAAATATGATGGATGGTCTCCATGTGACCAATGCTGTTGTGATCATGTTTGAGGCGTGTTAGATGTTCAGTTGTTTGAGGTTGGATGTGGTTCAATTTATTGTTCAGATTTGAACCAGAAATTATTTAACTTAGAGAAAACGTGTTTGAAATCCTCCTGGATTCATGAAACCAACCATCCATCCATCCTTTATCTTTTACCCGCTTCTTCCATTTTGGATCATGGGGTTCGCTGGTGCCCATGTCCAGCAATCACTGTGCGAGGGATGGGGTACACCCTGGACAGGTCACAAGCCCGTCACAGGGACACATAGAGACAAACGAGACAAACAACCATTCACTCTCTCACTCACACCTAGGGACAATTTAGAATTACCAATCAGCCTAACATACATGTTTTTGGTCTGTGGGAGGAAACTGGAGTACCCAGAGAAAAACCCACACATGCATGGAGAGAACATACAAACTCCACCTAGAAAGGCCCCCGGACAGAGATTTGAACCGGGAACCTGCTCGCTGAGAGGCAGCAGCTCTACAGTTGTGCCACTGTGTTGCCCTGAAACCAACCAGTGTCATGTATTTAGATGAGTTTCAGTGGGGTTTTTTTTGTTTGAACTGTGGACTGAAACAGTTTATGTGGAGGTCAGAACATTCTCACTGTAGTGAGAATTTCACAGAACATTCATTTTGATACACCTTGATATGTGCATGGACCATGGCATACACAACTTTTTTGTGCGTAGGTTGTTCATCCATGAGGCCACTGGAATCCCTCTCTGTCCTGTTGAAAGTACAGATTGACAGATCATTCTGAACCACAGTCATGCTTTCTGACATCTATATATGTATATATTTCATGGAGACCTATATGTATTTTTAGATATTCTTACTTATATTTCCAATACTATTCATTATTAGTTTATTCATTCATTCTTCTTTCAACTTGTTTGTTTGGGTTGGTGCCAAGGATGGTGGTGGGAGTGGGGCTTATCTACAAAATACGTTAAATAAAATGTTTGTAGCATTTGTAAATGACTCAGCACCCAGAATGTGAGTTGGCAATTGATTCAGCTACTACCACACCACATTTAGCTCAGTATGTGTAAAAATGTATTAAGTTTTGTCTGTTTCTGGTGACTCCTCTGCTTTATATTCCTACTCCTTCCATTTTTGGTGAGAGCAGATGAACTCCGCTTTTGCATGTTTTAAATGAAGACATGTTGCTTGAGACAACGCCAACCTAAAGTTGTTTTCTGTCTTCACAGGTGTTAATGAACCGGCGTTTGTGGCCATAGCAGACTAACGGCAGCATCAGAGGGGAGTCGGGACCAAAGGTGAAGTGATGGACCTGAGACCCTCCAGTGGACTGTCACCTATCATCCAAGGAGCTCTTTATGTGCCGCTGCTGGTTGGGTTTATTCTGCCATCTCGCTCAGAGAGTAAGTTCTGATAGATCCACCTCAGACGGTCACACTGATGCTCACTGACAATCAGTGGATGTTTGGAAGGGGACTGAAATCAAAACTTCTCAAGGTTCTATTTACAGATTTTACATGATCACCCACTACTTATGTTTTTTTTTGTTTTTTTTGTGAGTGGGTTGTTTTTCTGTAACATAAAAAATCCACAACCCAATGGACATGCTTTAATGAAGCTTTCAAGAAACGACTAGAAAGTTTCTGGAGAAACTTTGACGAGGACTGCCAGGCTGCTGCCGATTTAAATTGTTGATTGGACAATAATACGTGTTTGGGTTCGCTCTCAGCTACCACCATACCAAATTTCAGCTGAATCGCTCTAAAAATGTCTGAGTTATGGTATTTTTTCTCTTTTAGCTAAGGCGGCCATTTTGGATTTTTAATTTTCAGTCTGTCTATTAGGGATCATTGTCAGATACGCCAAATTTCAGTTGAATAGCTTTAAAAATGGCCGAGTTATGGTATCTTTTCTCTTTTAGCTAAGGCGGCCATATTGGATTTTTGATTTGGATTCAATATGTGATGGGGATCCGGGTGCTCCGGTTTCCTCCCACAGTCCAAAAACATGCATGTTAGGCTGATTGGTAACTCTAAATTGTCCCTAGGTGTAAGTGAGAGAGTGAATGGTTGTTTGTCTCGTTTGTCTCTATGTGGCCCTGTGATGGACTTGCGACCCGTCCAGGGTGTACCCCGCCCCTCGCACAGTGATTGCTGGACATGGGCACCAGCGACCCCCGTGACCCAAAATGGAATAAACGGGTAAAGATAATGGATGGATGTGATGGGGAACATTCTCAGTTATAACCACACCAAATTTCAGCTCTGTATATGTCAAAATGGCTGAGTTAAAGCCATTTAAATGTAGCATTGGTGATGCAGCATTTGATAGGAAACATTATCGGCCATCATCACAGTTCAGCTCAATATCTCTAAAATTGACTAGTATTTTTCCCTTTTTGTTTAGGTGGCCATCTTGGATTTTTGATTTTCAGTCAAAGTCTGTTTGGGATCATTGTCAGCTACCAATATGCCAAATTTCAGCTCAATATCTTTAAAAATGGCAGAGTTATCATATTTTTTCTCTTTTAGGTAAGACAGCCATTTTGGATATTTGATTGTCATTAGCAATGTATAACAAGTCACTCATCTACAACCGTACTTCATTTCAGCTTAATATCTCAAATAATGACCGAGTTATAGTCAATTTTGTGTTTGCTGAGGTAGCTGTGGCAGCCATCTTGAATCAAAAAGGCTCCAAATGTTAATCAGTTCTCAACATTTATCTGATGATTACTTTCTGTGAGTTTCAAACATATCCAACAGTGAGTTTCTGTTTTCTTCAGAGACATGTACACTCTAAGTCATGTGACTTGACAGCAGCAGTTAGTGTGAGGAGTGTTCTCCCATTCATTTCCTATAGGGAAATATGGCATATTTGTTAGCAAAATATGTCACCATGGTAACTCCAATTGCCAATAAAAGTAATAGCTCCCTTCTTGAGATCGAGCCGGTCGTTTTGATATTGGGGGTACACGTTGCAGTTCGGGCCGCATTAACGGAGATAGTGAAAAGCTTATCAGGTGTAGAATAATAAGCGGCCAGTCCCCAACTAGTTCCTGGAGTTCATGAAACATGGCATGTTTGTTAGTAAAATATGTCGCCATGGTAACTCCGATTGCCAATAAAAGTAGTAGCTCCCTTTTCGGTGCCAATCTGGTCATTTTGGTATAACTTTTGTGGGCGTCCACGTTGCGGTTTGGCCGCATTAACGGAGATACCATACCATACCATACCATTTTGTTTATAGAGCACTTAAAACAGCGACAAGGCCAACCAAAGTGCTGTACAGACAGAACAACAGGTAGCACACAAAGCAAAATACAAAGTGAAGTAAATCAGAATATAGACATAAAAACAATGCAGATAATGACGACAAACAAGTGTGGAGTATACAGGATCAAAACACAGATCATCTGGTGTTGAAAGCCACTGAATAGTGGTGGGTTTTTAAATGGGACTTGAAAACCGAGAGGGAGGTGGTCTGTCTGACAAGCAGAGGTAACTCGTTCCAGAGTCTTGGTCCTGCTACAGAGAAGGCCCTGTCACCTCTGCGCTTAAGACGAGTTCCTGGAACTGTGAGGAGCAACTGGTCCGCTGACCTCAGGGAACGTGGTGGGACATACGGTTGTAGCAGATCAGAGAGATGGGGGGGCAAACTGTTCAGTGATTTGTAGACATACATGAGTAGTTTGAACTGGATTCGAAGGTGAACCGGTAACCAGTGCAGTGAGGCCAAAACTGGTGTAATGTGCTCTCTTTTGCCTGTACTGGTTAAAAATCGGGCTGCTGCATTCTGGACCAGTTGTA